CGGTTCTCACTTCGTCAACCCCCATATTTAGTTCTTGAGCTGAAAAAATGACGGAAGCAGAGGCTTTGCTCCCCTCCGTCTCTTTCCTTCTTGGTATCAGGTACTCTCTCTCCTTCCTCAGTTTCCCTTCACCTTTCTTCGGTTCCTCTCTTCTCTCAATACTCTTCTCTTTCCTCGGTTTTGGTGAGGCTGTTTTCTTGTCAAGGCCCATTGCAATAATGCACCTATGAAAAACATTGACACAAAGTGTTTATTAACCTGGACAGACAGCACAGGGGAACTGCAAAGCTCTTTCAATCGCTTCTCTCTCCTTCCAGTAAGAAATGTCACAAGAAACATTTTTATTACCATATACGTAGTTCATTAAAATACACTACTTTCTCTGTATTAATACTAAAATCTTGTAAACACAACAAATTCTTCTATTCAAATTCAACCATTACCCACAGTAATAAACGAGAGAAAAAGGCAACTTAACAACTAAGAATAAACTTTTTGCATTAAAGTATACTTTTGACTTATAAGAGGGTCATATATATACATATTTATATATATATATATATATATAATTTAAATCTTACATAAGAATTATGTGATAAAGCAATATTCAGGTTTATAAATAAAAGGAACCTGAGATAAAAAAACATCACCAGAAGAAAGATGCCACTCAGTCTTTGATAATTTATTATTCCAACAACACAACAACAAAAAGACTTACACACAAGGTTGCATCTAATTAATTATGATTGATTTTTTTAAGAAACATGGACAGTCAAATATTGTTGTGCCCTTTAAGTAAACACTTCAGAAGCCTGAATGCTTATTTTAATAGAACTGTCATTATTGCTTTTAGAATGGCCTTTTAAACCCTGTACCACAATTTTTTGGTGATTTTTGCCACAAATAAACTTCTGTTCTTTGAAAATGGCAATAATCTGTAGAGGTCATAAAGTTATTCTAAGTCAAATCTGGTGGGCCAGGAGATGATCTGAATGTATTAAGACATTAAAGAATGTTTTTTAAAATCAGTTATAACAAAAGTAACATGAATAAGTTCTTCTATAGCTTTTCTTCGTGCTCTCCAGTTAATATCAAAATAGGAATTCCAACAATGATAATAGATACATTAATAAAAATGATGAATATGATAATAGTAGCAATGAGCTCTCCCTGAGTGCCGGGCTGTTTGCTGGGAACTTTATATACATTGTCATACAGGAGACATTACCCCATAGGCCAGTAAGTTAGGAACTAGCATCACCACTTTGCAAATTAGGAGACTGAGGCTTAAAGAGCTCCATGACTTGCCCAAGTCCAGCCAGCAGGTTAGCGACGGCGCTGGATGCCGGCTCACCACCTCAGGCTGAGGCACAGCCACGTTGCTAGGTCCCAGGTGCACCCGCTCGGATGACCCGTCACACAGGCGGACGCTGCACCGCTGGGCTGACCGCCAGGCCAGGCGCTCACTGTCTCCTCACCAGAGACCAACACAGCCTGAGATGTTGTCGCCGAGGCCTAGACACAAACCCTGACCTGAAAGAGGTGCCTGGCAGTTACCAGTCTCCGCACTCCTCTCCCCTAGAACATCCCACGTCCCCTCCTCTCCACATCACGTGAGTAGATGAGAGGCGATCACAGTGCAGTTAAGACCTGCCACTCCAGGAAGAACAGAAACAACGTGTAAAATCTGAAAACAGCCTCGTGGTGACTCAAATCCAACGGCAGTCTCTTCAACGGAAGGTTTCACTACATCTCAGCCATCCCTAGACTGGCAACGGCACAGGAACCGAGCTTAGTTCTGCCAACGAGCAAATATGAGAGCTTAGTTACCCCACTTCTCCTTTCACTACCTCCTCATAAAGTAGAACTAAAAGGATCGGCACTCAGAGTAACTATCAGCTGTGAAAAACGGGAGGAAAAGAACACACTCACTTCACCTATATTAAGAATGATAAGTATTTCTTGACTATGATGACAATGTACTTAGCACATTGCTTTCCTTGGAATAAAGGTGTCATGAATCTTCAGAGACTATCACTACTAGCACTGCCTTCTGTTCAAGCTGTTCCTCCCTTATCAATGGCAACACCAAATCCATCGATTTGGAGCCTCTGATATGCTGTTGCGTTTAGTTTATGTGATGACTGTGTGGAGGCTTTGATGCCTCCCTACTGCATGTGCAGACTTTTTATTGCCCATCTGCTTAAGGGAATTGGACAAACAAAGTGGGTAACATCTGTGCTCTCCTCGTCACTGACTACCTATTTGACTTCGGAGTATAATTCGAGGTGTTGATTCTGATTACTAAAGCTCAGAGCAGTCTGCATTCTACTTGGCGAGGCAATTCTTCTTCCTGTGTTTCGCTCTAGCAACGGAAAATGACAACCATGCCTCTCCAAATAGTTCCCATGATTGAGGGACCAGTACGAAGGTGGGACCTCCACACTCTGGAAGGGACCACTGCTGAGCTCTCCTGGTTTCCTGCTTTAAACAAGTAATTCCAAACCAATCTTTAGAAATGTAATTCTCTACTGGTTTATTCTACCATGCCCTCCTTTTCATAAGAAGAGCTCTAGGAGCCAATATTTTTAAATGAATTAAAATTAATTTAATTTTAACAAGTTGGGGAAATGAATGCCTACCCCTCTAAATAACTAAAGAAAAGTATTATCATGGATGTGACTCCAAAAAAAGTTATGTAAGTGATAGCAGTCTCTTAGAGGCAGGTTTCAACCTTCACTAGAACGTCACTAGAGTGCTGCAATGTTGGTGCTTCTGGAGTAGTCAGGGTTGTCTCAGGTAGGGCAGAGCCAAACAGGCAAGGCTCTCACCTGCCCATCGCTGTCCCGTTTGAAACAGTCTGCCTCGACTTCCACCTGATGGGCAGTAGGGAGACATCAAATGACACCACTCCATTCTACCCTGGACATTCACAGATTATATTTGAAGAAATGGTTATAAAGTTAACAAAAATTGAAAAACAATGTCCTATGAGAACTGTGCACTTTATTTGAGGGTAACTGAACTTACTCTGAAGTATCACAACCATTTCGTTTTTATTTTTGAAAAGATCAAAAAGAGAAGCTAGAGGGAACCAAGTGAAATCATATGAAGAATTGTACAGAAGCTAGTAAGTGCTGGATAGGAGAGTAGATGTCATCAACTGGCAGATTTTGGTACTGATGATTAAACCTCCAAAAAAGTGTTTAGGACCAAACATCGACAGTTTGGATTTATAGAGTAATTCCCAAAGAATGAAATGTGCTCACACACGGATGGATTGTGTATAAACTCATTAGCTTTCTTGGGAGGTAAACAGAAATCTGGGAAATGACTTGCCCGCAAATATGGGGAAGGCATATTTGACTTGGGAGAGAAAAGCAACTTCAGGTGGGTCCTACGTACATCTGGGCATTCCTACCACATTGCCCTAGACCATTCACTGTCCCACTTGCTGGATGACTTTTTCACACTTCTTCTCTCACCTAAAACTTCCACGTCCCTCCTCCCTCAGCCTTAACCTTAGCTGACAAATTCTTATTTGACTGGAAAATAGAAACAATCAGCAGGGAACTTCCAGATGGTCCCAACACGTCCACCAACTTACCTGTCTCTCTCTGCTCTATGCCATCTTTCTTCCTGTTACTACAGAAGAATGTTTCTCCTCATCTAAGACTGACACCTCCATTCGAGCCTTCGATTCCATCTCCTCTAGTCTACTCAAGCACTTTGCTCCAGCAGTTTCTCTCTCTGTGCCGTGCTTCAGAATTTTTTTTCTTTTCTAGGATACGAATCCTATCTCTCAGCATATAACCATATTATAATATTTCCCATCTTAAAAAAGAATACACCCCCTTGGACCCCTATATCCTTCATTCTGGCTGCCACCCAATTTCCATCCTTTTTAGCAAAACAGCTTAATAAGAGTTATCTATCACCTCTTCCCCAATTACTTCTCAAACCCACTCCAGTCAAGTTGCATTCCCACCAGGACGCTGTAATAACCTGGGCCAAGATCACCAATAACCAACACATTACCAAGTCATGCTCCACCCTCAGTCTACATTGGCTTCACCTGTCCAAACATTCGACCCAGGTGATCATGTCCTTATTCTTTACACACTTGGTACATTTCCAGGACATTGCTTTCTCTGGATTCTCTGTCTAATCACTGGCTTTCCTTCCTAGGCTTTTTCCTGGTTCCTCTTTATCGCCCTCACCTTTGAACTGAAGTGACCTGGAGCTCATTATTCAGACATCTCCTCTTTCTGCATTCCATCCTTAAATAATCTCATCTCATCTTATGACTTTAAATGCCATCCATATATAAATCCTTCTCAAATTTGTATCTCCAGACTGGATCTCTGACTAGACCTCAGATTCACAGATCCAACTGCCTCCTCAACATCTCTGCTTGCACATCTCGTGAATGCCTCAAACTTAGTGTGTCCAAACCCCAAATCCCCTCACTTAGCTCCCAAAACTGCATCTTCCACAGTCTTCCTCATCTCCATACATGTCAGCTGGACATCTTTCCAGGAAGCTGTTCAGGCCAGTAACTTTTCAATCATCTTTGACTTTGCTCTTTATTTCATGCCCTGCGTCCACTCCATAAATAAATTTTATAATTCCTACCTTCAAAATGCATCTAGAACCCAATCACTTGTAACTCTTCTCACCATTCCCTCTCTCCTCTGGATTAAGGTAGTTTCTCCCCTTCCCCCACCCTCCCTGGTATATTATCCCCATAGGTGTTACTGTCAGATCATGACAGGTCATTGCCCAGAACCCACTGTAGAGGCTTCCCATCCCCCTCAGAAGAAAAGTCAAAGTCTTTGCAATGACCTTGGGAATCCGTATGACTTGACCCTACTGTCTTTCTGCCCTCAGCCTCTATCACTGTCCCATTGTTTACTTTTGTTCCAGCCACACTAGTTTACATACATCAAGCATAATCCTGCCTCACACCCTTTATACATATGTCTCCTCTACCTGAAAAACTATTTGGAAAAGGAGACATTTTGCCTGGTTTCTGCTAGAAAAGCATCTTATCAGAGAGGCTTTTACAGACTATTGTACATAAAATAATACTGACCTCTGACCCTTGTCCCCAATCCTCCCACTATCTCTTATCCCCTGTTTGTATGCATCATGTTCATTACCATCTGACATACATTAATTGGTTGGTTTATTACTGGTATATTGGTATATTATTTGCCTTTCTCCTATCAGAACAGGCTCCACATGGGGACAGGTTCTTTGGATGGTTCACTCCCATGTTCTGGCTTGGCAAAGAGTCAATTCTCCATGAGTATTTTAGGAAAAACTTAAAGAAAGCCTACAAGCAAATCCTGATTTCAAACAGAATGTCCAGTATGAAAGCTGATAAGTAATAGTCATAAACAACCTTTTACCACGTGTTTTGTTATGCCTGAGAATGACATCAGAGGCAATGAGAGTGAGGATTGGGCCACACCATAATGCAGGCACATCTCTAATGTGCATAATTTATAACATCCAACTATGTACGCCAGATGCTTGACACATGTCTGGGGGCTCAGCCCAAAACCAGTTATTAAGAGAAATAAGAAAAAAAATCTTTCTCATTCCCTGCAGAAACAGAACTTAAAGCATTATGAGGAGAGGAAGAGATAGAGAAGAAACAGAATTTGAAACACCACCAGTTTTTAGCCTCACTATATAATAAATCTGGAAATCTAATGTGTATCTTATGATTTAGGTACAACGCACAAGATTGTGATAAACAAATTTTAACTTAGAAATCTTAGGCTCATCTCCACTGATATCTTTCTTAACAAATTATGCTGAGAAATACATCAGTAAAGCAAAAAAAGAAAAACGTAGCAAAGCTCGCCCTCTACCAAAGGACATGCGTTTCCATACTTGTAGCAAGGAGACGATCTCTCGACACACACAAACCCAAAGTAGCCTCGTTTGCCTCCAAGTCTGGAACCTTTTCGATGCTTATATTCACAGCAGGAACTTAACCTGTTCACCTGTATCCCATTCAGGAAAAAGGTGAGACTGAAGGGGAAACCGTGGTGCCTTTTGGAAATAAACTGGAAGGTCTCTGGAATTTAAAAACGAAATATGTTAGTAAAAGCAACTGAATTTGTTTGAAATGTTCTAAATCACATTTTTCTATAAGTACAATATTATGTTCTAGATCTCCTTTTTAACTTGAGGACAATTTTTCAATCATAAAAGCATACTCTATTATCTTTATATATAATAAATACTCCAAGGCATTATAAAAACTGTTTGATTTGCAATAAAATAATAATACCTAAAATTCAATGAGCATTTACAATGGCCAGGCATTATGCCTGAATATCTTGGGTGTGTTATTTCTCAACAACCATGTGAAGTGCGAATATTACTGTCACTAGTTTCTATAACACAGAAGGAAACTTAGGTTTAGAGGAATTCAGTAATTTATCCAAGATCATACAGTAAATAGGAGAGTGTTTGAATCCAGATTCCATGTCTCCATCTTGCTATGTTATCCACCAATAAAGTACATGACAAAAGGCTACTGTGAGCTCAGAAGTGCTTTTAAATAATTTTTTATTTTTAGCTGTGACTTGAAACATCCTAATACATATATGGATGAGGCAGAATTATTCCATCTCCAATCCATTCTCAGTTCTGCCTGGATTACGGGCCCTTCTTGCTCCCCCACCTACCCCAATGACCCACAATAAATTAGAAACCACTGCTTGCAATTAACAATTTTCAATCAGGCCAAATCTCTAAAATGCTCTTTGAAGAAGTCTCAGCCTAGACACCCCAAACCCCAACTTTTTACAGAGTGACTCAGAACCCTACTTCTCATCATACTTCTAATGTCACGTCCCACAAAGGAAGTCTCCCTGGACTCTTCCACTTCCACCAATAATAGACTTGATTATTTTTGCCTCTCTGCTAAGTATGCATTTCCTATTGTTGCATTTATTACAATATATTAAAATATGGTTACATACAGTAGTTCTTAAGCTTTAGTGTGCATCAGAATCACCTGAAAAGCTTATTAAAACACAGATTGCTGAGCCTCACCCCAGAATTTCTGATTCCATAGGGCCCCAGAATTTGCATTTCTATCAAGATGTGAGGTGATGTTTACACTGCTGGTCCAGGGACCACACTTTGAGAACCCTGATCTAGATGTTTGCTGCCCTGCTGTTTGTGAAATCCATGAGGGCTGAAACTGATCTAATTCATCTTTGTTTCCCCAGATTCCAGGACAGTGACATAGGAGGCCCCTGGTAAATAATTAGTAAATCATTATTTTAACTTATTTCTTTCATAAGTCATCTAGAAATACTATGGTTATATCATATTATGCCTCTAAAAAAATCTAAATCAGAGGCAATTTGTACTAAAGAATAGACTTATTGAAAAGGTAATTCTATCATTTATACCTTAGTATCTGTGATGTGAAATAGGGGAAACAAAGATACAACAGATTTAGTAATCCACTTGTCTTAATGATATATGGACTCAAGTGATAACTAGAAAGCTAGTTTGACTGCTTTTATGACAGAAACTTGAATGGGACATTCATGTAGGATGATCCATTTTGCTGTAGCATCACACCCCCGAACTCCTTAAGTACCCTGCCCAGGGGGACAATAGAGCCAGGAAATGCTGAGAATGGGCCAGCAGATCAACTTCTAGACACGACTGCCCTTCCATTTGGTACCCACGTGGCTGGAGAGCACATCCATCTATTATTCTATTTCTTTCATGGCTTTTTCAAACTTATTGAACAAAAAATGACACTCTACCTTTATTCCTTTGTTATGTATTTTATAATTTTGTATTTTAAAATGTAGTAACACTTCGAAAACCTGACTTGATGGTTTCTGCATGGAATAGTACAAAGAATACAGACTAGAAAATCAGAAGATTTTGGTCCACATTCATTCTTCACTTACTACTTAAGTGTGCCTTGGTAAGACATTTAACTCTGTTACACTTCAGAATTCTCATTTATAAAATGAGGATGATGGGGAAGTGGATGAGGAAGGTGGTGACCCAGTTTACCCACTCCTCAGAGCAATCTTAAAGATCATATAATGCACAATAATAGAAAGCATTCTAGAATATTTGTAAAATGTAGGTATTTATTATTGTTG